TTAAAAAAAAAAAAAAATTACACCTGTAATCCTAGTAGCTCAGGAGGCTGAGGCAGGAGGATTGCAAGTACAAAGTCAGCCTCAGCAACAGTGCTAAGCAACTCAGTGAGACCCTGTCTCTAAATAAAATGCAAAATAGGGCTGGGGATATGGCTCAATGGTTGAGTGCCCCTGGGTTCAATCCCCAGTACCAAAAAAAGAGAAAAGAAAAACAAATTAAAAAGGACTTGGGGTGTAGCTCAGTGGTAGAGCACTCTTGGGTTTGATCCCTAATGCGAAAAAATAAAAATACAAAAAAAAGTTTAGTTGTTCTTCATGGACCTGCATTTAAAAAGATATCTTCTTAGTTCATTTGCTTGGTTCATTTACCCATACTAATCCCGATATCTCTTCTCATTGACTATGCCTAAAATTTGTATTTGATTACTGATATTTGTCAAATTACAGGAGAGACATCCAGGAGACAGCAAAAACTACAATGAATGTATCCGACACGAGACCATCAGAGTTGCAGTCTGTGACATGATGGAAGGGAAGTGTCCCTGCCCTGAACCCCTAAGGTATGTGTCAGAAGGGCTGACTGGGCATTCATTCCTCTTTTGGGTATTTAGATGGTTTGTACATTTGAGGATCTTTGGGGCAGAGTCCATGTTGAGAGAGAGAGGAAAAGGAAGAAAAGATGGGGCTCATGCTTTTAAAAAACAACTAGTTGCAAGTTACCCATGAGAAAGTTTCTGAACTTTCTCAGTTCTTCTACAGTGCCAAGTTGGGTAGGAAAGGCAGTCTGCGCCTTCAGGGAGGGCCCCCCCCCTTTTTTTTTTGTATACAGAATGCCTTTATTTTATTTGTTTATTTTTATGTGATGCTGAGGATCAAACTCAGTGCCTCACGCATGCTAGACAAGCGCTCTACCACTGAGCCACAGCCCCCCAGACCAAGGAGCCCAATTTTAATGAAGGCTTGAACATATAACTATTCTATAAGCAAGAGAGGTATGATTGTAAAACACTTCATAGTAAAGCTAATTTTTAGTGTTCAAGTTTATTCCTAAGTGCTAAAACTAAACGAACAAAGTTAATTTTTGAGAGAATTTTGAGTAAGGTTTGGGATTAGGTCTGGCCTATGGAAATATAAAGATTGAAAATGTAACCAGTTGTTCTGGGCATGGTGGCACATCCTTGTTATACCAATGGCTCAGGAGGCTGAGGCAGGAGGGTCGAAAAAAGCCAGCCTCAGCAACATCAAGGCACTAAGATCTATGTGGGAAATCAAATCCAGTCTTGGGAATTCTAGCTATTTAATTTGGTATTAAGATTAGATGGTGAGCCAGGTGCAGTGCTGCACATCTGAAGTCCCAGCAGCTTGAGAGGCTGAGGCAGGAGGATCACAAGTTCAAAGCTAGCCTTAGCAATTTAGCAAGGTTCTGAGTAATTTATTAAGACCCTGTCTCAGAAGAGGGTTGGGGATGTAGTTCAGAGGTTAAGCATCCCTGGATTCAGTTATTGGTACAAAAAAAGATAAGGCCACAAAAGGGGACCTATACCTCTAGGTTTCTAACTTCTGTACTTGTTTTCTAGAGGGGTGATGGAGAAGTCCTTCCTGGAGTATTATGACTTTTATGAGGTGGCCTGCAAAGATCGCCTTCACCTTCAAGGCCAGACTATGCAGGTAACACAGCCTCTGCTGCTAATTCTAGAAGCCCCACCCACAGCAGACCATGGACACCCCCCTCCCCAAAGGTGACATTCACTTCTCTTGTAGAATGTCACAGCTAAAAGGAACCTGTGTCATTTGAGGAACCTTGGCCCAGAGAGGAGACTGATTTGCTTAAAGTCATGTGGAGTTGGTTCCTAGTTCCTGGCATAAAGTAGGTACTCAGGGTAGGATCTTCATTGTCCTACCTTCAAGGCTGAAACTTCTTCCCTTCTAGGTCGATAGATTTTTCAACCCAAGAACTTTCAACCCTCTCAGAATTTTAGGGACGATAAAAATCATTATTGGAATTTTATCCCAAGCCTTAAGAAATCACAGAGAAAGCTTAGAGAAACAGTGGCTGTGCAGTGTCATATATTAAGGTTCCCGTTCCAAAAATGGTAGCCAGTTATTCATTCTCTGCCTTACTGGGAAAATGTGCTCTGGCTTCCAGTAAGAATGCAGATTTAGGCTTGTTTTAATGAAGAGATTCTTACTGATCAAATAATAGATGCAGTCTCCTGGTTGGTAAGAGAGTGAGAACCCTCCTGCCTGTAGGAGCATTTCTTGTGTCTTTGGGTCATTCAATAGTGGCCTTGCTTAGAAATGGATGACTTGGGTAACTAAGATCTCTTAGGCTTTCTCCAGCTTTGTGCTGTTTCTACCCACTACGCCAACAACAGTAGAAGTAGATGTCTTGTTTCCTCAGTGCTGCTCATAGATTGTAGCTCCCCTATTCTGCTTTCAAGGTCTTCCCACTCACCTACCTTACTTAAGTGCAAAGGACAAAGCAGGTTCAGAGTTAACACATTTCTTGAACCTTTTTTGAGAATATACTATGTCGTCTGCCCTAGTTTGTTCCCCATTAGGAGTTCTCATTACTGATGTCCAGCACCATTACCAACCTTTAGTCCCTGAAGGAAAAACAACTTTTGATGAGGAATGGGATAGGAGGGCCCATATCTGGGGAAGAAGGGAATAGGGGGAAATGGAATCAAAGACAAAAGAAGAAAGATGTGGAGAATTGACAGATCCAGCATAAGAGTGGAACTTTGCCTTTGAGTAATATAATCTTCATGAGTGTAAAGGTGGGCTATGGTCATAGTTACTGTAACTATTACCCAATGGTACCCTGCTGTGAGGGTAATGTATAAGATAGAAATGTGGGAATAGGACCTGGGGTGTAACTCAGTGGTAGAGCACTTGAGTAGCATGTATGAAGCTCTGTGTTCAATCCCTAGTGCCACCAAAAAAAAAAAAAAAGTGGGAGGGATTTTTGTGAGAGGAGAAAATAGAAATTTTATAACCTTTTTGATTACCAAAGAAGATAAGTATTTAAACCCTAGCTGTACTATTTTGTTGCCAAAGTCCCTCTACAGCATTTTAAACTTTTGTGTGTGTGTGTGTGTGTGTGTGTGTGTGTGTGTGTACACACACATTTATGTCCTTTGTTCTAACCATATTATTTTTGAGACTTTGAGGACAGTTAAACCTTTCTATGAAGTGTTTAGAGATCTTTGATCTAGAATGACAAGGACTGGGTGGCCCTGGAGTGATGCCCAGAAACCTTGACAGGAATGTACTGATGAGTCTCTGGGGAAGAGTACCTGTGCTTATCTGGAAGTCAGAACTCTTATTAAATTCTAGACTTGCCTTTTTTATTTTTGACTGGGGATTGAACCCAGGGGCATATTTTATCACTGTGCCCATCACCAGTCCTTTTACACACACACCCCTAGGGGTGCTTACCCACTGAGGGTCTAAGTTACTGAGACTGGTCTTGAACTTGATCCTCCTGCCTTAGCCTCAAGGGATTGCAGGCATGCATGCCACTGTGCCCACCACAAAGTGTCGTTTTTGACTATAGGGAATGAAAGATAGTTGTTCCCCCTTTGGTTTTATGTGGTGCTGAGGATCGAACCCAGTGCCTCACTCATGCTAGGAGAGTGCTCTACCTCTGAGCCACAACCCCAGCCCCTGCAAACACATTTTAATGTCAGCCCAGGCTAGACCTATTTGGGTTAATAAACATGCCATAGCATTTAGGACTGTTTGGGTCTCCCTGTACAGCACAGTGCCCTCCTCTGTTCCCATGACTCAGAAGGTGAGTTTGCATTTCACATGGGCCCAAAACTGGTCACCAGGCTGAGCCACCCAGACTTGGATCTTCCATCCCCGTCTCCTTTCCCCACAGGACCCTTTTGGAGAAAAGCGGGGCCACTTTGACTACCAGTCCCTCTTGATGCGCCTGGGACTGATTCGTCAGAAAGTGCTGGAGAGGCTCCATAATGAGAACGCCGAAATGGACTCTGATAGCAGCTCTTCTGGGACAGAGACAGATCTGCACGGGAGCCTGAGGGTTTAGACCCTGCCCCCCGTCCCCTCCCCCCACCTGAGAGTCCCAGCAAAGTCCCTTCCCCCACCCCAGGGATGGAGAGGCACTGTGTATCTCCCTCCAAACGTGACGTCATTCTGCAAGATGGCAAGAAGCAAGCTTGGATCCCAGGGTGTGGGAGTGGGGGGCTATTCCAATCTGACCTCCTTGGCGCTGGAGCACCTGGGGCTGTGTTCATCTTGGATCAGGGCCAAGGTACCTTTACAGGATCATCTATGACAAGGGCCTCTGGCAAAACAAAACAACAAACACACCTCTCTGCAAGGCCAGCTCCTTAGGGTTTAAAGACAGAAATTTCAGTTCCAAGAGGGAATGTGCCCAGATGATTTATGGGGATACCTGGAAGGAAGCTTTGGGGTAGGGGGCTGTTTGTGACACTTAAGCAGTCTGGGTGGTTGTCTGTGTCTGTCTTCAGTCTTGAAGCAGGGCTTCCCATTGCCCTTATCCTCCGTGCCCCCCTGCCCCTTTATCTCCCACGGGCCAGCATAATTTTGTTTTTCCTAATTTATAGTCACTGTTCTAGACAGACCAAAGAGAAGGAACAGTGGTGGAGTCTAGGCTGCTGATCAGTAAGCTTTACCTAGCACCTGAGCACCTTTCTCCCCTACCCCTCGTTCCCTTGCTCTTTTAGGTTTCAGACAGAACATAAACAGGACCGGGACTGAACCAGGTCTTGGTGAAGCCTGCACAGGCACCGTGAGAAGCCGGAAGTACTGTGTGTTCCCGCAATCACTGATTTGAAAAGTTCCCAACACAGGCAGCTGCAGTGTGTATGGGATTAGAGCCACTACATAGAATAGTCTCTTAAAGATTTTCTTAAGTACTAGTCACAATGAGGATATTTTTTCTTGGGGATGGGGTAAACAGGGGAGACTGATGCTAGTCCTTATTGCATTTTGTTTGACTGACCTTGTGTATTTTCACCCCAGTCTGTAGTCCCCTACCTCACTTCAACCCCCAGGTAGCAGGAGTAGCCAATGGCAGAAGGGGATCTGGGCTGGGACTCTAGAGACTCCTTCCCCTCTCTCCCTTCCCCCTCCCAGCTGCTCTTTGTCACTGGCTCTGATGGGTGTTTGCCTGGCTGTGTTGCTTCTCTATTTGTATTTTAGCTGCAGTGATCCTTTAACTGGTTGGCTCAGAAAAGTGTTCTAGGTGCCTAATAATACTGGGCATCAAGGGAATTTCTCCTTCCCCTTTTTGATATGTTCTTCCCCTACTTCCAGATTCTTGCTGTTATGGACCCCCATGGAGTGTTGGTGATCCATGTGAAACAGGCCCAGTCAGTATCCAGCCACAGGCAGAAGAGAGGATAAGGTGTATCTGCCCTACCCACTGCTTTTAAGGTCTCTGCCTGATGGATCATGGGACTCCCCTAGGGGGGACAGTGGGGGAGGAAAATGGGGCACAAAAGAAGAGCTTCCTAAAGGGCAGGAAGAGGAACTGGGGAGTGGTACACTTGGGGAACAGAAGTTTATCTTGGCTGTCTGAAGAATAGGTCTCAACATGGAGACTCAAAGGGACCCTGCTTCCAATGTCCCTCCTCTTCCATTCCCAGAGCTACTCCAGGGCCGAGAAGAATGCCCTTGGTTTGTGGGTCCAGTGTTGTCTGTTATCCATCTAAGTGTTCCCACTTTGAAGTGACAATCTTCTCCTTGGCCCTGCCATGGGGCAGAGCATGTCTGGCATAGTGGCCTGACTTTTACGCCCTAATCTTGAGTTGAGGAAATATATGCACAGGAGTGAAAAGAGATGTCTTTATATCTGACTGTACATAAATGAAATTTTTTTTTCTTTTTTTTTTTTTTTTGGTGCAATAAAGTTTGTTTTGGCAGAAGGAGGAAGCGCCTATGGGTGTGGGAGGGGGTTTCTGTCAAGGAAGAATGGGATCATCTCAACCACTACACTCACCTGGGCCTGAATCTGTTAGGAGAGGAACTGTTCAGTGAATTGTCTGGAAGCTAAAAGACTTGGGTAACGTGGTATAGGCAGGACTGTTGGTGATTATTTCTCTGTTAGGGAAGGAGGGGCTTTTCAAGGGTGGCTGTGGCTCAGGTAGTCAATGAGCAGAAGGCCAGTTTCACCTCAATGACTTCCAAAAGCATTGAGGAATGAGCAATGCTGTGTAACAGGCAGAAGTAGTAATGGGCCTGTGCTACAGCTGATAAGGAAAGGATGTCTGCATGGAGAGACCACTGGATTTTAGCTTTCTAGTATTAAATGAGCACTTCTGAAGAATTTTGCGTTTACTTTGAGAGTGTAAACTCTGGCTTGGTCTCATCACCATCCTTGCTAGAGCAGAATCTTGCTTCCTGGGGCACATGGGCTTTTCCTCTTGGCTGGCCACATGTGTAGAAGGCATTGTACACATAATGTTCTGCCTGCCTGTACTGTGCAAAGCAGTGATATGGGAAAGCGTGGGTTCTGGTTAATAGACCCAGTTCTTTGGTGCTGTTTAAGCTGATAGCCTCTGGTAAATTACTTTGTCATCTGTGAAGTTAAGGATACCTATTTTTATTAATGCTGCAAGGATTAAATGTGTAATATAAGACAGTACAGGGTAGGTATTCAGTAAGATTCCCACCACTGAGGTTAGAGGGACCTGGTTATCAGTCTAGGGGGAGAACTAGCAGGGAATTTGAGGACCAAAACACAATGTTCACTATTGTTGAATTCTCCTCAAAGTTCTGTTTTCTTTCCTCCAGCTTAGCCACCATTCAACACTGACTTCTGTTTCCTTCACACTCAGACTTGGATCTGTCATAATGTAGATCCTCTACAGAGAAAGCTAGGAGAGACTGAATCAGTGACTGACTAGTTCACAAGGGTCTGCTAGTGTGTGATAAGGAGCATGGAATAATGAAGAGTTCTGAATTAGAGTGGTTATTCACTTTATGGCTACAGAAAAAACTATACTCTGTAGCCAGGATAAGCTTGTGTTCTGGGCCCAGCTCTTCCATGACCTTATAGATGACCTGCACAAGTCATATGTGCTTGCTGTACTTGTGTTACTCAGGTTCCCTTACTGGATAAAGGAAGCTTCCTCCAAAAGAGATGCAATGTGAAGGCACTTTTAAAAAATAAAAATACTGGGGGAAGAAAGAAAAACTTAGAACCTTTCTTTTATAAACAAAATTGTCCAGGTTTATTCACCAACAGTTCCTCCTTTTTCTCACTGCCTGCTACTGTGCATCCTTCCATACTAAATCAGGGAAGGGCTTCTCTGGCCTCCTCAGCTGTTATCTCCTGTGAGTAGAGGTCAGTGAAGAGAGCTGGCAGCCAGTAGTGGGCCTCCCCTGGGGCCTGCAAGTCCAGCCAGGCCAGCCCCTCCTTCAACAGGTGTTCCTGGGGGGAAAAGAAAGAATGCTTGAGAGGGGAGGTTCTGTGGGTAAAGTGTGGTAGGGAAGCAATCTCCAAACCTATTTTGGCTTCAGCAAGGTTTTCAAACAGCCTTTATGTGCCTTTGCACACTTACACAACCAAACTGGGATGCTGCTTGGCCTCATTTGCCTGAAGTGTGAAAATAACCACCAAGTCATTTAACATGTGCTGCTAGTGAATAGTAGAACCTGAGTAAAGTGGGATGTAGTGGAAGAACATAGGGCTCTTATTTTATGGCCTTGAGCAAATTACTGCTTCCATTCTCCCTGGAGAAAAGTAGAGATCACTGTTCTAGCTGTGAGTTGATTTGCTGGGAACAAATGTGAAGGACCACATTTATTTCTGATGGACTCACAGTTCCTATTCCTATGCAGGAAATATGCTCAATATTTACATTCTCCCACTTTACAGATGAAAAATCTAGATACTAAATTGCCTGGGTAAGGGAAAATCTACTGAAGCCAGAGCTCCTACGTTCTTATGCTGCTGCTTCCTCTTCACAACAGTCTTACATCAGCACATGAATATATATAAGGTTGTTATATAATATGCAATATATTGCTTAGTATATACTTATAGATACATAATTATAAGTAGTAATTAATTCCCTTCACTCTGTACTAGTTATTTCTAGCAGAAACTATATTAAGCTCCTGACCAGCAACTCCAGGTCGAGTATGTGCAGGAGAGTAAGTGGGCATTGGTGGTTCCTCAGTAGCAAGGGCAGCTGCTGTTAGTGCACCCCAGGGTTAGAGGCTTGCCTTAATGAGTTCTACCTTCTCAGCAGAGAGATGATGGGCTTCTCCTAGGGTGAAAACTGTAGCCTACAAGGCAAGAGTGAGCAGAGCAAGCCTAAAGTTCCTGCCTGTGTGGAACCCACCTCCCAACCAGGAGCCCATCTTTTCTGGGCCATTCCAAAATCACATACCAGCACTTGGCGCGCCCGCTCCGTCTCCCATTTAAGACTGGCTTTGATTTCACTGACAGTCACGTACCCATTTTTCTGAAGGAAGGAGCAGTGGGAACTGAGTCAGTTAAGAGTGCACTCCCCTAGAGCCCAGCACCTGCCCAGGAGCAGCACACTTATCTGAACAGGAGAAAGAGCTGCCCTTGGGCCAATCCTGAGAAAGTATGGGAAAAGAATGTTTAGAGAAGTGATTTTCAGGATGATAGGGGTAGTTTCGTGGGTTTGATCTTAATATGTGGGGTCCCAGATACTAAGATATTAAATTAGACTTGCAGAGAACTCTAATGCATGTCAAGGGAAGATTCAGAATGATAACTGATAGGAAGCAATGGTGATAATCATCACCTGTTAATCTAAAATATTTATAAATAGCTCTTGCCCTGCTTCATCCTACCTGTTCCACAAAATAAAAATTTTTAATAAAAAAGCCCATTCCTTAATTTTATTTTCATTAAAGAATTAAGGAAATGAACATGTCTTTCCTAAAATATACGATGGAGTTCTGGGGAAAGATGGTATATGCTTCAGGCATGCAAGGAATGAGAGGATTGGCAAGCAAAATTTTAAAACTTGTTTTGAAGAATCCACAAAGTAGCTTAAGAGGACATCAGAGAGTGTCTACCCCAGGAAATATAGTTAGTTGTCTGCATGTCTTTCTACCTGACTAGACTGTAAGCTCCTTGAGAGCAGGGACTTCATTGGACCTCTCTCTATATCTGCCCCACAGCCTAGCCCAGTGCTTTGCACTGTAGCTACTCAATAAATGTCTGCTGAATGAGCACAGGACTGAGTAGTTCATCCATAAGACAGTTTACAAAAGACCTGAGCAGTGGGGAGAAAGAGATAACAGCTCTCACACTCTCTAGGGGTGCACCATTACCTCTGCCAGCTGCAGCACCACAGTGTGATCCATATTGAGCTCAGCTGGAACAGACTGAATGAGGTAAGTACCGCCCACAGGGATGATGCCGAAGCCAGTGCCCAATGCCTTTAGTTTCTTGATGGCCCTGATCAGGTCGTCTCTGAGGTGAGGAAGAGCAGCTTAAAGACCCTTGGCAGATAAGACCTGACAACAATGCAGTTTCAGCTCTGCCCGAGGCAGGGTACCCTGAGAGAAGAGTCAAAGGGCACACAACACTCAACTACATCAGTAAAATGGCAGGTTAAACGGCACCAAAAAGTGCTTGGACACTGAAGGAAGATAGTACAGAAGTCAGATTGCACACTTGGCAAACCACTAATTCCAACACCCTAATAAAAGCAAAAAATAGAATACATGACCAGTGTAACTCCACGTTACGTACAACCACAAGAACGGGAAGTTATACTCCATGTATGTATGATGTCAAAATACATTCTACTGTTATGCCTAACTTTTTTTTTCTAAAAAGTAATAAGCATACTGAAGCTCATCAGGAAATATGGATAAGGTAGCTGAAGCCAACAGGGAGTAGTGTGAACTGTAGAGAATTTTTTTTTTCTTATTTCTGGTGTTGAGGATTGAACCCATGGCCTTTCACATGATAGGCAAGCGTTGTAAAACTAAGCTACTTTCCCAGTCCTTTAGAAATTCAACCCCGGGATTGCCAGATTTTCCGATTTCCCAGTTAACAACTTCAGGAAAGGCATAAAATGAGTAAATCATATATCCAGCCCACAAACTGGTTTATAACTGCTGCCAAAGCCTAGAAATGTTATCACCTAATCAACCAAGAATTGAGAACTTTTAGGTAGATTGAAATGCTTTCTCCAACCCCTTAGAAGAGCAGATTCAAATCTGTCTTGTCAGGCATGATGGCATACACCTTTAATCCCAGCAACCTGGGAGGCTGAGACAGGAGGATTGCAAGTTCAAAGCCAGACCCAGAAATTTAACCAGATCCTCAGCAACTTAGTGAGACTATCTAAAAATAAGAAAAAAATAAAAAGGACTGGTCATGTATTCAGTGATAATGCACCCCTGTATTCAATCCCCAGTAACCCCACGAAATACTCTTTCAAATGCACTAGGTCACCTCATTTGCAGTGAGTATGGCTAATAATCTTGTCATAACTTCCTTTTTGAATATTCCTGGTCTTTATGATCTCATTCTGGGATAGCTCTTTGGGAGCTACATCTAAAACAACCACAAATTTCTTCTCTAATTGGACTCTCTATGTTTTAGAGGCTTGTGAACCAGGCCAATATACCCCATTATATCACTCTGATCTCTAAGCCCAGAATTTCTTTTCTTCTTCTTCTTCTTCTTTTTTTTTTTAAATGGTGCTGGGAATTGAACCCAGGGCCTTGTGCATGTAAAGCAAGCACTCTACCAAATGAGCTATATCCCCAGCCCCTCTATGCCCAGCATTTCTAAGGGCTACATCTGTCTCCTTGGCTTCAAATAATCTCAAAATCCATGTACATATAAGTTTTAAACAATACATATGTATGAAAAATGCTAATACCACAAAATGTATACAAGTTGTAAATTCTTAGTTGAGAGACAAATGTTTTGTTTCATTTTTGTTTTTTTGTGGAACTGGGGATTGAACCTAGGTGTACTTCAGCTGGATTAAGTGCTGGTTTAAGGACTGAACCACACTTCCAGCCCTTTTTTGTATTTTACTTGGAGAGAAGGTCTAAGATGCTGAGGCTGGCTTTGCATTCAGCATCCCCCTGCCTCAGCCTCCAGAGCTGGCTGGGGGAAATTCAGGCATGCATCAGTGTGCCTGGACAAAATGAGGTGTGTTTATCTTCTTTTTTTTCAGTGCTAGGGATCATACAGGATCTCACACATGCAAAGGATATGGTCAAAAACTGAGCCACATCCCTAGCCGCCTTTCTTAAAAAATAGGTCTCTGTAGTTTTCTCATATGAAAATATATTTTTTTCTGACCATACAGAGCAATAAAAACAGTTCACAGCTGGGCATGTTGGTGCAGCGAACAATCCCAACAATTTGGGAGGCTGAGGCCGAAGGATGAGAAGTCTGAGGCCAGCCTCAGCATATTAGTAAGACTTTTAGCAACTTAGCAAGACTTTGTCTCAAAAAATAAAAAGGGATATAACTTAGTGGTAAAGTACCTCTGGGTTCAATCCCTAGTACTGAAAAAAATAAAATTAAGAAACAAAAATCATGGGCTGGGGATGTGGCTCGGTGATAGAGCGCTTGCCTAGCATGTGTGAGACACTGGGTTTGATTCTCAGCACCACATATTAATAAATTATTAAAATTAATGTCTATTGACAACTAAAAATAAAAAAAATCAGCACCTAAGATAGCCTACACATATGAGGAGTAGGGAGAAGATTTCCATCTAGGGCTAGACATAGTGGCACATGCATGTAATCCCAGAGACTAGGGAGACAGAGGCAGGAAGATGGCAAGTTCAAGGCCAGCATCAGCAACTCAGTGAGGCCCTAAGCAATTTAATGAAACTCTGTTTCAAAATAAAAAGGGTTAGGGATGTGGCTCAGGAGTTAAACTCCCCTGGATTCAAATCCTGGTACCAAAACAAAAATTATTATAAATAAATGAATAAATAAATGATTTCCATCTGACTTTAAAGACCTCTAAAAGGGGTGCAAGGCAACACCTACTGGCTGACATCCTGGGCGAACTTGCCCCTTCCTTTTAACACTTGTTGATGTAGTTCCTCCAGAGTTATCAGACCTGTTGGAGAGGGAGACAGAAAGCAGATGAAGAGATTACCTTTATGGCTGCAATGTTCTTGATATAAGGGCTGTGTCTGTTTATCGCCAACAATTTATAACTGTTTTTTTTTGTTGTTGTTGTTGTTTTTGATACTGTTAATTGAACCCAGGAGCACGTGAATCCAGCTTTTTAAAATTTTTTATTATGAGACAAGGTCTAAGTTGCTCAGGGCTTTGCTAAATTACTAAAGCTGACCCTGAACTTGTGTTCCTCAGCTTCAACCTCTTGAGTAGCTGGGATAACAGACATGTGCCCCCATACCCAATCTAGAATACTTCAATTACAAATTTTTTTTAGTTGTTGATAAAGTTTTATTTTATTATTTGTTTTTTTACATACAGTACTGAGAATTAAACCCAGTGCCTCACACATACTAAGCAAGCACTCTACCACTAAGCCACAACCCTAGCCCCATCAGATGACTATTTGTAACATCACGTTTTCAGGAATGCAGACTCAGTTGGCATCCTACACCTCAAAAAGGCAGTGTAGGCCTGTAGTTATTAATGAGAAAATCATAACCCAGATGCATCACACATCATGGGACAAAACTACTTCCTACTTCCCTTCTATTTTCTGTAATGAGGCAGGAATGGATATTCCCAGCCAAAGATCTTTCGAGAATAGACAACTGGCCAGATGCAGTGTAAGCCTGTAATCTCAGCAACTTGGAAGACTGAGATAGGAGGATCACAAATTTGTTGACAGCTTCAGCAATGTTAAAGACCTGTTTCAAAAAAGAAAAGGCACTTGGGATGTAACTCAGTTGTAAATCACCCATGTATTAGAAAAACGAAAAGAGGGGCAGGGGATGTGGCTCAAGCAGTAGCGCACTCGCCTGGCATGCGTGCGGCCCGGGTTCGATCCTCAGCACCACATACAAACAAAGATGTTGTGTCCGCCGAAAACTAAAAAATAAATATTAAAATTCTCTCTCTCTAAAAAATGAAAAACAAAAAGAGGGCAGGGGGTGTGGGAAATGATCATTCAGGTAATTCTAGTTACCCTTAGCTGTGGAGACATGCCATGGATTCAACTGCATAAAACAGCTAAGATGTATCTCAAGACCTTGCAGGTTTGCAGACTACAGGATAGAAAAGATAATCTTTTGAGGGCTTCTACTCAAGAGAAGTTCAATGCCCAATCCATGAACTTCACCACTGCCCTCACCTCCATTCCGATGCTTTAGAGCCAGGCACACTTCGATAATCTGGACGCCCAACTCATAATAGAAGTCCCCCACGCCCAGCATCTCGGACCAAAATCCTTTTCCAGCTATAAGAGAGAAAAAAACAAAAGCTAAGTTATTCAATAATTTTCACCCTATCTGTTCTTCTAACAGTGGACTTTAACATCTATTTTGTGAGTAATCTTGTTGCCTAGCTTTAAGTCCTGCTCTACTTGCTACTCAAGATTCTCTGTGACAGACAACCTGCCTCTTGAGAACTGCTCAAAAAACAGGCTCAGACAGTTCCAAAGGGTGGGCAATGTCAAAGTCCTTTTTGGGGCTGAGGTTACAGTTCAGTGGTTTTCCTTTTCCAAAGCATACAGTGAAATATAGTAGGAGATATAATCTAGACAAGGCTAAGAGAAAAAATAGGCAAACTTGGCATTGGAAAATCCACTGAAGTCAAGCAGGTTAAGCATGCCCGCAATCATAGATACTTGGGAGGGGCTGGGGATGTGGCTCAAGCGGTTGCGATCGCCTGGTATGCGTGCGACCCGGGTTCGATCCTCAGCACCACATACCAACAAAGATGTTGCGTCTGCCGAGAACTGAAAAATAAATATTAAAAAAAACAAATTGTCTCTCTCTCTCTCTCCTCTCTCTTAAAAAAAAAAAATAGATACTTGGGAGGCTGCCTCTGCAACTTAGATAGACACTATCCCAAAATGAAAATTAAAAAGGGCTGGGGATATAAAACAACCCTGAGTTCAATCCCCATTTTAAAATAATAATAATATTTAATAAGCCCAGAGCAGGGTTGCAGACCTGTCATCCCAGCAGGGTAGAAGAATCCTAAGTTCAAGGAAGAGCCAACCTCAACAACTTAGTGAGGCTTTAAGTAATTTGTTGAGTCCCTGTCTCAAAACAAAAAACAAAAAAGGGCTGGAGATGTAGCTCAATGGTAAAGGACCCCTGCATTCAATCTTCCATATGAAAAAACTAAAATACATTTAATAGGGGCTGGGGATGTGGCTCAAGCAGTAGCATGCTCGCCTGGCATGCGTGCGGCCCGGGTTCAATCCTCAGCACCACATACAAACAAAGATGTTGTGTCCGCCGAAAACTAAGAAATAAATATTAAAAAATTCTCTCTCTTAAAAAAAAAAAAATAAAATAAAATACATTTAATACACCTAATCTATGCAATGTCATAGGTTAGAAACACATTACACTGTAGAGTATCAGTTATTTACCCTTCTGATCAAACTCATGCTGCCCAGCATCCAAGAGTATTTTGCTCACATATCATTAACCTAGAAAAAAGCTAAATTCATAGTATGGTTTCTGGTGAATACCAATTGCTTTTATAGCACTACCAAGGTGAACCATCCTACAATGGGGACCATCTATGTCGTTTAATTATTAGTGTTATTTACCGCTGCAATTACAAGACAGGATCAGTCAAGACTCTGGGTTCATCTCCTATATCCCCAACCCCCCAAATTATAGGATAGTCAGGAGACTTCCACTTCCTTTTTTATATAGCTCTTCGTTGACTATATGACCACAAAGTACCTTCATTAATAGTATTTTTTTTTAATTTTTATTTTTTAGTTTTCAGTGGACACAACATCTTTGTTTTTGCATGTGGTACTGAGGATCGAACCCGGACTGCATGCATGCCAGGCAAGCGTGCTACCACTTGAGCCACATCCCCAGCCCCAGTATTTTTTTAATATTTATTTTTTTTATTTGTAGTTGGCCACAATTCCATTTATTTATTTATTTATTTATTTATTTTTATGCGGTGCTGAGGATTGAACCCAGGGCCTTGCACTTGCTAGGTGAGTGCTCTACTACTGAGCCACAACTTCAGCCCCAAAAGTAGTTTTTTTTTTTAAATAGGGGGAAATGCCATTAAAACAACAAAAACACCCCCACTACAGATTATTCAAGGGAGAATCATAGGGCCCTGGCTACTTGTTCTTCACTCTAGTCTTTAAATCTTCCCAGCAGAATAGACACTAGCCATCTTGCTAGGTACTCCCTAAAGATGACATCTTCTGGCTTTTCTTATAGGCCCTTCTAAGGGGTTAGAAGGTAGATAAGCTTCTGTCCCTAGCAGCCCTATGAGGACACTGGACCGCTACAATTTCTTACAGGCTAGAGGATCCACTCCAATGGTTGCACACATGTCCTGGAACTGTACCCGGAACTCAGGATTCTTCCTTATCTCCTGCTTGTGCTTGCTGGCAAATTCCTCCAGGTTGGTCTTGAACATGTCCAACTGTTTTGACATCTGTTGGAAGGACAAAGGGTAGCTTAGGAGCAGTCCAGGAGATAATTAGCTGCCCAAAATAAGCTCCTGGTCCGTTGCAAGGAAAAAGCTGAAATAACGTGTCTCCTTCAGGCTTACAATTATGCTGTTTATTGTCTCCTCTTTTTATCCCTACTTGTGCACAGTTGTCAGAAGTGAGATGCTATACTTTTTCCTCAGTTCTAAACTACACATTTTTTCATGTATCCCTGTTCTAAAATCAGGATACATCCAATAATAATCAACAAGCATGTCTAATGTGATATTCCCCCCCCAAAAAAGTTAATAAATTGAAGGTATATCTAATAATCCATTTTGTCTTTGAAATAAGGGAATGCAGTGTTCCGATAGTGGGAAATCTTCAGCCACTAATGAAAAGCTAGGTAGGAAAAAAATGAAGTCTGGCATGAATTAGGATTATAGTGGTTATTTAACCTGAGTCATGGATCTCCTTAGGGATCAATTCCACATAAAGAAATGGGGGATTGGGGTTGTGGCTCAGCAAAAGAGCACTCACCTAGCATGTGTGAGCACTGAGTTCAATCCTCAGCACCAATATAAACAAACAAACAAACAAATAAATAAATAAATAAATAAATGTACTGTGTCCAACTACAACACACACACACACACACACATATATATTTTTTAAGGAAATTGTGGGGGGGGAGCAGCTGAATATCAGAGCAAACACAATAAAGTTTGTGGATTCTATGAATTTTTATTTATATTACCCCTTCTTTCATTTTCCCTAATTAATAAAGACTATCTACCCCAGCCAACATTTTCCACTTTTTTTTTTTTTTTTGTACCAGGGATTGAACCCAAGAGCACTTAACCACTGAGCCGTATCCCCAGGCCTTTTTAATTTTTATTTTTAGACAGAGCCTCACTAAGTTGCTGAGGCTGACTTTGAACTTACAACCCTCCTGACTCAGCCTCCCAAGCCACCAGAATTACATGTGTCACTGCACCTGGCATAAAGACTATCTTCTGGGGGCTGGGGATGTGGCTCAAGCGGTAGCGCGCTCGCCTGGCATGCGTGCGGCCCGGGTTCGATCCTCAGCACCACATACCAACAAAGATGTTGTGTCCGCCGAGAACTAAAAAATAAATGTTAAAAAAAATTCTCTCTTTCTCTCTCTCTCCTCTCTCACTCTCTCTTTAAAAAAAAAAAAAAAAAAAAAAAAGACTATCTTCTATCCTTCCAAAAATAACCATTCCTGGTCCAATATCTTCTCATTTGCAACATAAAACTATCAGAAGCTGGGCACAGTGGCACATACATGAAATCACAGGTACTCGAAGGCTGAGGCAGGAGAATCCCAAGTTCAAAAGCCAGCCAAACAACTTAGTGAGGCCCTAAGCAACTTAATAAAACCTTGTCTCAAATAAAAAATAGGGGCTGGGGATACAGCTCATTTGGTAGAGTGCTTGCCTTGCATGCACAAGGCCCTGGGTTTGATTCCCAGCAGCACAATCAATCAATCAATAATAAAAAGGAATAGGGATGTGACTTAGTGGCACAGCACATAAGCTCAGCATATTCAAGGTCTTGGCTTGGGGACCAGCATCACAAAAAATAATATATTAAAAGCCCAAAAAGACTTTTATCAAATCATTCTAAAGCCAAGCATTAGGGGACATACCTGTAGCCCCAGCTACTCTGAAGATTAAAGGATCACTTCAAAACTAGTGTAACACTTTTTTTAATTTTGTATTTTACATTTATGTGGTGCTAAGGATCGAACCCAGTGCCTCGTGCATGCTAGGCAAGCACTCTACCACTGAGCCACAATCCCAGGCCCGATTAAAGGATCATTTCAGCCCAAGCATACAAGACCAGCCTGGGGGCTGGGGATGTGGCTCAAGTGGTAGCGCGCTGGCTTAGCATGCGTGCGGCCCGGGTTCGATCCTCAGCACCACATACAAACGAAGATGTTGTATCCGCCAAGAACTAAGAAAAAAATAAATAAATGTTAAAATTCTCTCTCTCTCTCTCTCTGTCCCCCCCCCTCACTCTTTAAAAAAAAAAAAAAAAAAAAAAAGACCAGCCTGGGCAACAGAGCAATACCTCATCTCAAAAAAAAAAACCACTCAGAAAGTGAGAAATTATATCCCATCGATGTATGATATATCACAGTGCATAAATTGCATTCTGCTGTCATGTATAATTAATTATAACAAATAAAAAATAAATAAAATGAATAGCTTTTCCACTTACAACCCATGTGACATTGGATAAATTACTCAGTGTCTCAATGTTCTTAATTCTAAACTAATTGAGTTCTTTCTTTATAAGTGTGAATCAAATCTGAATTTTCAAAATCAAAATGGAGTCACTGTGTCTGTACTCCCAAAATAATAAGCTGGGAGCCTATAAAGGAAGAGTTCTTAGATTCATCTATAGATTCATACATGACTACAAGATTAAAACTATCACAAAAGGTTGTCAGAACCACAAGCTTGCACAGAGTCCACTACAAACTTTTATGAAAACTACTTCTACAAAAACATCTGCCCATCTGCTATCTATTCAACCTCAGGCTGATGCCACTTTTGTTATTTATCATTGTGACCAAGACTATTGTTTCAAAATATACAATGCAATCCTCTTCATTTTCATCTTTAAAAACTTCCTTTTGGCTGGGTTTGGTGGTGCACACTATAATCCCAGCAGCTGGTGAGGCTGAGGCAAGGAGGATCCCAAGTTCAAAGCCAGCCTTAGCAAGGCACTAAGCAACTCAGTGAGACCTTGCCTCTAAATAAAATACAAAATAGGGGAGCTGGGTTTGTGTCTCAGTGGTAGAGCACTTGCCTAGCATGTGTGAGGCACTGGGTTTAATTCTCAGCACCACATATAAATAAATGAATAAAATAAAGTTTCATCAACATCTAAAAATACAAACTAGAGGGGCTGGGGATGTGGCTCAAGCAGTATCGCGCTCGCCTGGCATGCACCGGGGGCTGGGTTTGAACCTCAGCACCACATAAAAATTAAAATAAATAAATAAATAAAGATGTGTCCACTGAAAACTAAAAAATAAATACTTAAAAAAAATACAAAATAGGGGCGCTGGGGGTGTGGCTCAAGCGGTAGCGCGCACTCGCCTGGCATGCAAGTGGCCCGGTTCGATCCTCAGCACCACATACAAACAAAGATGTTGTGTCCCCCGAAGACTAAAAAAAAAATAAAATATTAAAAAATTCTCTCTCTCCCCCTCTCTCTTTAAAAAAAAAAAATTCCCTATTAAAAACAGAACTTAAAAAAAAATACAAAATAGGGCTGGGGATGTGGTTGAGTGCCCCTGAGTTCAATTCCTGGTATCAAAAATAAAAGCCAGCCTCAGCATCTTAATGAGGCCCTAAGCAACTTATCAAGACCCTGTCTCAAAACATTAAAAAAAGGGGGGGGGCTGGGAATGTGACTTGTGGTTGAGTTCCCTGGGTTCAATTCCTGGTTAAAAAAAAGAAAGAAAGAAGGAAGGAAGGAAAGAAAGAAAAATAAACTTCTCTTTGCCTCAATCTGTTTGTATATGGACATAACTAACTGTGGCATGTATATTCCCAATGCAGTGCTACTCCCAATAAGTATCAGTAAATAGTCTTTGGAGAATCCGATTTTTCTTTTTTTTTTTTAATTTTAGCTTGACATAGGATTTTAATGACTGAACAAGATGGCTTATGTAAAAAGTAGACAAAGGCTGGGGATGTAGCTCAGTGGTAGAGGGCTAACCTAGCATTTACAAGGCCCTGAGTTCAATCCCAGCACCAAAATTAACAAATATATAAAATTAAGAGACAAGTGCCTGGAACCTTATAAGCATTTAAATCACTCAAAAACGTTAGCTAGTATTATTAGCAAGTCGCCTAAAAGATCATAGCAGCCCAGAAATCCGGATTTGCCAGACACTCTACTTTTATTTCAATCTAAACAATGTAGTTCACATCAATGATGTCCTGACCAGCCCTGTTATGTCTCCCTCCCTGGCTGAAGCCCTCCAATCACTCACCTGGGCCAGCTGGTCCTCTGCCAAGACAGTCCCTCGCTCCTTATACTTGGCCTGTCAAACAAAGAAACAAACATGAGCTGAGGAAGTGGGCCGTGGGGACTCCCACTTTTGCTGCCTCTGCTGGAGTATAAAAAGAGAAAGGTCTCTTTCTAAAGTGTTTTTAGGAAGAACAGGGTGAGGGAATAGAGTCGATGGCTTCTGTCTGTGATCAAATTGAGGAAACGCGGGAAAGAACTAGTGGACATGGGGATGTTGACACGTCAATCCACCAGGAGCTGGAGAGACTCGGTTCCCCAGTGCCCAAAAAGCCTGTCTTAGTATCTGCTGCGAGGCGATGGAAGGGTATAGAACTCTGCACTGGGAGAACTCGGTTTCTCACGGAATAGGGGTGGGCTGGGGTCGACCTCTTCGCCCTCACCTCCGCAAGCTTCTTCTTGGCGATGGCGCCAGCTCCCACGCCTCGGCGGTGCATCCCCGCCCTGGGCCCGCGGGCCACCCCGCTACCGGGACCCCAGATCTCCTAGTCCAGGGTGCTGCCGCCGGCTCCAACACGGAAGCCCCGGCAGAGCGTCATCCAAGCGCGCCGGAAGTGACGCCCCACTTCCTTCCTCGGCGCCAAGGGTCTCCCTCTGCCACGGACCCGGCCCCGCCTTATTCTGGTGGCAAAAATCCGCAAACCCCGAAAGCACCGGAGGGTTGACGTCCGCGGATGAAAACCCCGACTACTGTTGTATTGCTCCCCGCATCCTGCGCGCGTTGTCGCCTCAGGTCCTTGGAGTTCCCGCAACTACCACTCCACTGCATGGAGGTCGATAAATCTTCCTCTGACTTTTTAAAAATAGCTGATAAAGTTATAAATGAACCAGGTTTTTTGTTGTTATTGTTTTCCCGATGCTGGAGGTCGAACTCAGGGACGCTTTACCAGTAAGCTACATCCCCACCACTTTTTGTTTTATTTTGTGAGTCATTGCCTAGCGCAGTTATTCAGGCTGGCTTCCAACTTGGGACCCTCCTGCTTCTGCCTTCTGAGTGCTTGGGAATACAGGCGTGCCCCTGGTATTAAGAAGTACTCCAGAACCACCTACTAAATGCCAGGCACTATGTCGCCCTTCCAAGGTTCCATTCTCAGCAAAAGCAAGAAGCCATTCCACTTTACTGGAACTTAACGTGTTAGAATTTCACGCAGAAATTCTGATTTGGGAAGGCCTTACAGTTAACTTGACTTCTAGAGTCAGACTGCTTTGCCCCACAGCTCAACTCCAGTACATAAGGTTTAGTAACTCAAAGCAATTTCCATTATTTCTTGTGTTTCATTATCCACAGTTGTAAAACTAGAATAACACCTAAGTTAGGACGGTGAGAAATTTAATAAAGTATTAAGTACAATGCCCAGTGCCCGCAGCCTGGCTGGGCACAATTCAGGAGCCACTTGTCAAAAGAAACTAACTTTATTTTTAGAACTACAAACGCCAAACAAAACAGCTCCTCAGGAAAAAGCCCTCAGAGCCCAACTGCCACCACCAGCTTCCCACAAGCCTCTCACCCACACCAACCTCTCCACCTCCCACAATCCTCCTACTCTTGAGGCCCATGGCTGGGTTGTGTGGGCGGAGCCAAATAAGTCCCCCAATGAGCAGCTCTGTGGAGGAGCCAATCAGCTAGATGTTGCTGGGGCCGCTGTGAGCCAATCATCAGCTGGCAGTCTGAAGGGCAG